ATGCTATAAAATTACATAATTGGTTGCAAACAATCACCACTAATCTAAGAGTAATTCTTCATTTAACCGACACTTTTACATGTATAATCATCTAGGTTATATTTACTCGTCTAAGTTAATTAGTACCATTCTAATGTCTTTTTTGAAAACTTCCCCATCTTATTTGTTAAATAGCTTAAGCCTCTTTTTTAGTTCCTAATCTAAAAATATACAATCCATACGCTGTCAGGATTCAACTGCTTAAATTCCTGCAATTTTGACTAAAGTACCTACATTTTCTTAACAAATCTAAGTCTAATGACAGCAGAAGATAAAACATTTTCGAAATAATCCAGTCTACGGCAATACCCAAGAAATATTATCGACCAAGGTTTAAAATCGAAGCAAGAGGTGCGACATTTTGCATCTTTGTGTTTCCACTAGAAAGATAGGTAGATTTTCGACATTTCTTTGTCTATTTCGATTTAGTTCTAAGGAATGTTTTTACATGGCTTCAACTATTTACTTAAGCTTTATTACACCGTTGACGAGTATCAGAAAGCTGCTAAAATAGAATTGTGTAGAATGACAAATGAACATGTTGGAATTAGTGTATCCAATAAAGTTCGATGCAGACGGCACTTTAGTGCAAGCGTGAAGTAGACATTTATATTGAATGGGTTCCATTTGTGACCATGGTTTAGTGGCTACTTTACCTTCTGAGTACCTGCTATTTTCAGTTTAGGATTATTTGTTACATTACAGAATATGTTCTTTCATTATGGTGTAAAACTGGCACTTGTGCGATGAATGGCTGCGGAATTATAACCGAAAAAATAAGTCTTGAGAAGCGTTAAAATATTTTTTTTTAATTAGTAACTAACTACAATCTGCCTGCTTATTGGCATTAATAAGGTTTGTCTTCAATTTCAATGAATATGGTAGAGCCTGATTCTGATTATTCTGCCTGGTTGTCGGATGCTACTATAGGCCTCGGTAACTCAGTGGATTTTTAGGAGTTGGCGCAGTGCTGCGCAAATGGTTTGCTGCGCCAACCCAACGCAACGGCGCAGCAACTCAGTTCCGTTGCTGGAAAAATGTTGATGACTTTTTAAAAACTTTTTATAGATTTACTTTAGTAATAATATTTTTTAAATGTCTTTAAATTTCGGAATTTTCCAGTTTTAGCCAAGTTATTCTTCCTTCTAAATGCTCTAAAGTTTCACTTAAAAATTCGGACAATCTTAGGGTAGTTTCCGCGAAAAATTATGAAATAAATTTCGAATCCTTCGTCGCTTTGTAAAATGTTTTGAAATCCGTTTCCAGCTTCGAATTTGGAACAAAAATTAAACAATTTTCTATCAAAAATCCAACAGAATAAGCGAAAGTTTATAACAGATTATTTGGAAATCTCGTCACGTCCATTCCTCTGCACTGTATAATTTGTTAAAAAATGTAGTTTTTTAGTTTTCACTGAGTTTTTTTTGCTTTACTTTCTACTCAAAAACGCTCTATTTTGTAGCGTTTCACTTAAAAATACTGACGATCTGGAGGACTTTTACGCTCAAACTCAACAACAAGATAAATTTATAGCTTTGTAAAAAATTTACAAAAACTTTTTTTAGTGTCAAATTCGGGACCAAAACGAAAATAAATCCCTACCGTTTTTTCACGAAAACCATTATGGTTTTCTCCAAAACCGATCACAAAACTAAAAGTTTTTAATCGAAAACGCAAAAAAGCATTATTTTATTATGATTTTGTTCTTTTTTGACAATAATGGGGTGTTTTCAATCAAAAATTACAAAATTAATTTTGCTAGAAAATTCTCCCCATTGATCGGTTTGCAGGGAACCTTAGAAAACTCTTTTCAGCTTCAAATCTGGCACAAAAACCAAATAATTTTATTCAGTTTTTTACTGAAAGTAATTAGCATCTTTAAAAAACGACCAGAAAGCAAAAAATTTCAAAAAATGATTGGGTAAATTCGCCGCCCTCATCGCTCTGAAGATTTCAAAAGTTCCTGTAAATATTCAGGTCTTTCCAGTTTTAACAAAGTTTCTTCAAAAATTCTTCTACGCAAAAACGCATTATTGTTTAGTTTTGCTTAAAATACTGGCAATCTTCAAGTATTTTCTGTGAAAAATTATAAGATACATTTTGGAACACTCGCCTTTTTAACCGCTTTGCAAAAATGTTTGCAAAACTTTTTGCAGCTTCGAATTATGGACAAAACCCCAATAATTATTTCTAGGTGTTTTTATAAAATATTTTCCCGAACTGAAAAAGCGAAAGTTTGTAATCATTTATTTGGGAAACTCTTGAAAACTGGAGTTTCTTCACTTTTAGGTCAGTATTTCTAAACAACACTGTCTCTAAACAGAAAATTCTCATTTTTCCTAACGTTTTACTGTAAAATACTGGAAAACTGAATCTTTTATGCAAAAAAAAAGAGATTTTACAAGAAAACGTCGACTTTCTTTGGACTCAGTTCTGTTGCTGGAAAAATCTAGATTACCTTTTTTAGTTGTTTGAACAAAGTAGTTCGTTACTCAGAAAAAATGTTAATAGCCCTTTTTAAGATGTGAAAATTCTAGTCTCGGGTCTCGTAAAACTTTAACAAATGAATTATAACTCATTAACCGATGAGTTATAAGTCGTTAACTCAGAGAGCGGCAACAACTCAATAGCGCAACTCAACACAGTGTTACCCCGGCCTATGGTGCTAGTTTCTTGAGCATCTTGTCATCTGTCAGTGGATTTGGGTGGCAACCTATTCGCGGGTGATATTTTTCATCGAATCTGTGTATTTCTTGTCCACATGCAGAGTGTCGTTTCTCACGTACAGATGGCGTCACATCAAAGTAGACGACTTATCACAAACAAGGCGACATATCACAAACTTTTTTAATTTTACAATTTAATTAATCTCTATAAATCTTGCTCATCATTGTTCCAAATCTCTCAGCCACTGTTTTCGTTGACCATCCTTCCTCGATTAATGTAATTATTCGAGTTTTTTCAAATACTTTTTTGAATGTGTATTTACGCAATTTTTACGAGTATGTCATTTACGCAAAGGTAGAAAGTCAGATTTACATAACAACTATTTAATCGTCTACTTTTATGTGACGCCAACTTTATGTACGTCATGTATCGTAAGGTTTTTGATTGAAATCTTTGTAATATTTCTGTATGTTGCTGTTGCTAGCTGTTTTATAAATTAGGACTTTATTTTCCAGAATTAACGCGGACTTCCTTCCTAGAAGCCAGTACCTTTTTTGACTCTAAGTCTAATTCTTTTCTTTTTTTATGTTTATGAGTTTTCCAGGTCAGTCGTCGGTCCAGGTGCATGCCCAGGTATTTTGCATGGTCTGTTGTTTTAATTAGGGTGTTGTTGATTGTGATTGGAGGACATTCCCCTCTCTTCATCGTGAACAGGACCTGGACGCACGTGTCCTCGTTTACTCGCCACTTGGTTAGCCATTCTTCCATTTTGTTGATTGCTGTTTGCAGTTTTTGTGATGCGGTAATTGGGTTGTGGTCTGATATTAGTATAGCTGTATCATCAGCGAATGTGGGTGTTATGACATTTTCATCCTGTGCTAGGTCAGCTGTGTATTTCATCAGGATCATTATTTTTAAAGCTTTCCATTGCTTTGGAAAACAGTTGGTTCCGAGAATTGCATTAAATATTGAGTTGATGTAAGTTAGAGTTGTTGCTCCTAACTTTTTCAGTATTTCCGCTGTTATTAAATCGTGTCTTGGTGTCTTTTTGTTTTTTTAGAGAGATAATTATTATTATATAATAAATATCAGCTTGGATGGTTTTATTGGTTTGTTTATCGGTAGTGGGGACAGATCGAAGCGATGTTATTTTAAGGGGTAAGGTTGATATGTATCGGGTACATGGGTAGGGTAAATGGTGGTAATCGTTTCGCGCCTTTGATGGTGTATTTTAGTTGTTTTGATAGCATATTCAGTTAAGCTTTATCTTTAGGTCTTCTTGAGCCATCTATGCCATGCTTTTCTAGCCTTCCGTCTTTCCTTGACTTTGTTAAGGATTTCCATACGGTATAAGTCTTCGTTATTAGATTTTATTAACTCCGAAGTTGCTGTTGACGTTGTTCTGTGGATTTTCATAATAATTTTCATAATAATTTTTCATAATAATTCATCTATTAATAAGTTCTATTGCTTTGTTGATGTCTTTTTGGTTTTTGAATGGTATTTTGAGGTCGATGTTTTGATCCATGTGCTGAGTAAATTATATCCAGTTGGTTTTATGGTTGTAGACCGAGGTTGGCACTTCTTGATTAATATTTTTGAGCTAACAAAAGGTTTTGTTCGTAATATAATGATGGAGTGCTCTTCCCCTGGTCGTTGTTAGTCCGTTTAGCATCATAGTTTCATTCAAGTTAGTCTGTTCAGCATCATTTTGATCCTAGTGTTTTGAAAACGTTATCCAGAATAAAATCCATTAAATTTTTTGAATTAATTTTTCAATTTTCAATAATTTTTTTAATAAATGTTACCTATCCCTTTCTTGCATCAGGGTCTTCAATTGTCCACTTAAAGGCCGAATTAAGTAGAATTTGTATTGTATGTATTGGTACTTAAGGCATGATTTGAATGCTCATGAGGATACCATTTTTAGTTGGAATGTCGACATCACTTTACGGATATTTTTTTGTTCTCGGAGTTCTGTTTAGGGTCAAAAAACCGAAATAGTTGCTTTTAACTGGACGAAGGCAAACTTTTAAGCAAAATAACGGTCATTTTAATCAGACCCAACTGCAATTTAAGAACTACCATAGAAGCAGTGAAAGAACGTGTTGAAAAAAGGCTTTCTAACTAGCCTGAAGAACAGATGTTTTAAAGACTCCCTGTTCAGCAAAGAGAATCACCTTGATGTATGATCTTAGTCTGGTTCATATATTTGTTTCAACATCAACCGCATGTCTAGATGTGTACTCAAGCAACATGTATAAATGAAGCATGCCTAGTGTTTAGCCACCTACCTTCTGCTTCGCGATTTTGGCTCGGTATCAATGAGTCTTCCTGTGAATATTCGACAATGCGTCTGCCATCACCAGAAGTAGTGTACACTTTAGTCCTTTTCAAAGTATTGGTCATTACTTCAGTCTCAGTAGAATCGCCCTCGAAGAAGCCACTTTCTTTAGTTTTCTTATGTCCACGCATTTTTCTTATATTGATACGAAATACTTTTGTAAAATTCAAAGTCAGTCAGACAATCGCATAATGCTTTACGTAATTCGGCGTTGTACTTTCTTTGAGCTCGATAAGGGAAATTGAAATTACATGGGTTTCCCACTTGTGGATAACAGTAAATGGAAAGTAGGTCGTTAAAGAACTGTTAAGATCAACTCAATGCCGTTCGGAATATTTGAACTATGAACACATAATGCAACAGTGACATGTTCGGAACACGGACAAATATTAAAAAGACATTTTTTAATATAATATAATTGGTCACCAAGTCCAATTTAAAGTCAATGTCCAAAGCCTATGAAAACATAGGTTAGGATTGCTTCTTTTAACAGGTTCTATAACTGTACTGCCCGGTTTTGTTTTTTTCGTGAAACATTAGTTTTCTTTAACAGAAAAACAATAAAAAATGTATTCTTTTCAAAAATATCGAAGAATACTTCTACACAGCAACGCGCCGCGCTAAAAACTAACTGCACGATCAAATCACACTAACACAACACAACCCATGTTTCTACAAATCCCCACCACGTGTCTTGGTCGTCTGCTACGTTGCCAATGCGCGAAATTTATCAATTTTAATATAAAATCATACAAAAAATTGGATGTCACATTCAAAATTGGCTACTTGGTCAGAACTGATAGTCTACCAATCTGTTGAGCAACACAAAATAAACAATTTTTCTCTTGTTAAGCAATACATAGAATTAGGTTTTCATTAGAAAAACTCTTTGATTATGTGACATTTAAATGCATTCTTTTTCTGAAGGCAAAACATATTAAAGTTGTGTCTTTAGAAAAACTTTTTTTTTCTTTTTTAGGTCAATTGACGAGAATTAATACGCTGAATTTATGTATAAAACTGTGTATTTATTTTTCTTAAAAGGGAAAATTCATTTTTTCAATCTTCTGATTCTTCTACTTGAAGACAGCTTACTTTTATATTGGCCAAGATTTATTTGACATTTTCGTATTATGAGCTTTTTTAAAGGTTTTCAGCTTTCTCGAGAAGGAAGTTTATTCAAAGCATTTCTTCACCAACAATCCTCATTTGGTACAAATTTACTATTTTGATAAACACACAAACATTTACACATTGAATTGATTCTGGCTAACTTGTTGCTTATTAAAGGTAGCATGACGATCATACGATCTCATGTTATGACTATAATTGTATTACTTCTTTCCTGGGTTTTAGTCAGTGTGAAATAAAAATTTTCTAATTATGAGTTTTCTATGAATTTTAAATCGGATGATGGCGCTGTTGTCTCGCCGAAACGTTATGAAATAAACGATATAAAAGTATGTAAAACTAAAAATATATACTTAAAAATAAAGTTATGACTACCTCCACATGTATTGATCCCACAATCTTGTTGAGTCAATAAATTACCGATTTCTGAAAACTTTCGTGTTCTAGCTGGATTAGTTTCGAACGTTTCCACAATGGGACTGATTGAGGGAATGTGAAATGTGACACTTCTAGTCAAGGGCGCCAAGTGTCTATCGGTCCTTTAAGTAGCTGCTAAGGACGAAAAACCCTTGTTCGCCCGAATAAAAGGCAATCGTAAACGTGACAACAGAGCTAACCAATATCCTACTTTTCCATGTAAAACTGATTGCTCATCATTGGAAAATATTTTCGCGTTGATTTTTGGAATTGGAAGTGACAAAACAACGTTTTGCGTGAGCATATTCGAAATAATCTTTGTAAACCATTAGAATTTACATGTTTTCTTAATTAACTGCCACAAGCTTTGTGAGGTGAAATTTTCATAAATCCTCGTAACGGCCTCAAACGGCCAACATCGGTGATCCGCCAATGTAACCTGGGAAGTAATATTTATCAAAACTTAAATTTTTTTACTTTTGTTAGTTCATATCAGTAAAAGTTGTGATTTTTCGGTGAAAGCCCTCTAGCACGTAAAGCGACCACACAATTCCCACTACGCAGTAGCAACGCTATCGATTAGATGGCAGCACATTTCACAAGGGAACAGTTCGCAAAATGATAGACACTTTATTTAAGATCCAATTTTTTTAATGGAATCATGTTCCAATTAATGGATAAAAAGACAGTAAATATTGGCTTTAAGTCAATTACTAGGTCGTGAGCGATTTAGATAATAGGAAGACGAGACAGGGGACAAAGGTAACATCAATGAGTGAGTATGATTTTGGATCGAACAGGATTTTTTTAAGTCGAACTGCAGGAGTTTTAAGACAAGCTTATTTTTTTATGCAAAAAATAAATTTTTAAAAAGCTTATTTTTTATGCAATTTTTCTGAGAACTCGTCCAGGACTTTAAATCGTTAAAATTAACAAAATAGCAATAATTCTGTTTAAATTGTTTTCCCATGGTTAATCGGTTCTGGCAAAATAATTTTATTACCCAACCAAAAATACAACCTACTTACTTAATGGTAATTTTTTAATATGATTTAAAAATAGTCATTTCTACTAATATCTGGCAACAATTTAGGAAACTTTTAGGCCTCAAGATTGTAAAAAAATGTTATAATTAAGCTGGAAAAGCTCGTTGATTCTCGTTTTGTATAAATCAGACAATTGCAATTCTCTGTTCAACCGGAAACATTTTTTTGGTATTGCAATTCTTTGAAAATGGAAGAGAAAGTAGAATAAAATGAGCGAAAAATACTGACCATCATTTGAATAGGCGCATTTGAAAATTTGAGGTTCTTTTAGGAGGTAAATTTTTTACTTTATTATTAGTTAGAATTTGGCGCTTTTTATGGTTTTGCTAAGCGTAAAGCTGCTCTAGATTCCGAAAGCGCCCCACAAACGTAATTTCGTCATATTGCGAAAACCGCTTGGAATATTTAAATGGAATTTTACGGGCTTCGAGACCTAATAAATTTACATGTTTTGTAGTTTTATATATTTTTAATTTTTTTGAATGGGTGTCAAAAGTAAAGTACCTAGTTTGATTTAAAAAGAAACGCTCAACAAGAAGTAAAAGACAGTAAACAATTTATACAATATAAGCCTACGATTTCTGCTAGTTTTCAACTTAATTGAAACTTGACTGAGCTTTGCAGTAATCGATTTTACTTTTTTTCTCAAAAACGGTGCATCCTAGAAAGAAAATAAGATCCTCGTTTTCCAGATTGATTAGGCAGTTGGAAAAACCAGTAGCCAATCAACGTAGAATAGATTTTTGCACAACTTTTTCTCTGCACGATTTTAAATTTGATTTTTTGGAGCTATCAAAAGAGTTTTTCGAGTTTTTTCGAGCCCGAAAACTCATCAGTTTCTTTTGGAGTTTTTTTTAAGTTCTGTCTCCAAAAAAGCTAAAACGACAAATGGACCGTACGAAAACACATTGGTAAAGAAGAAATATATCTCAACTCAAATGACACTGAAGCTAATCAAAACTACTGATGTCTCGATATAGACATTCACCTTAAGCCATCAAAAGGAGAGTCGACCTAAAAAATTGAGTGAAATTAAGGCAAATGGAAAAAGCCACATAGAGCAGTAAATCGGCGTATCGTGATTTTGTGGAAGTTGGCAATTTGAAATATTTCCGTCCAAACAAAACGTTTAAAAACGTTGTTCAGTTTTATCGTTTGCTATGAGGAATTGGACTCCCATCTAGTCGTTCATGTAACACCTTGTATGAGAACTTGAATTTCAAAACCGAGCAAAATTGAACCAAACTGCAGTTACCGATCATTTACAAATAATATTTCTAAGATAGATGCAGACGCTGCATATTATCGCAATAGTTTCAAATACTTTGGAAAATCAATGATAAAACTGGACATTCATGAAATTACACAAGATATATATGAGATATTAATAATTGTGTTAATTCATGACAAACATGTTTTGTTCAAAATTGGGATAGCATTTGTTAATTACCTGCCATTGGGCTATTTCGGGCTTACAGTTTATTTTGCTGCGCCCAGCTACCAGCCAGTGATAATTATCGCAATAAACTACTTTCATGAACATTTGAGTAACATGTTGGAACCAGGGTTCGAAAAAGAATCAAGAAAGTCGATTCAGTTTTTTCAAATTTCATTTTCCAATTACTTCTCGTAAATGCTTGATCCCAAAGGTTAGGTACTGTAAATTATTCAGCAAATTTCGTAAGCGACAGGCTCTACTTTCGGTTTCAGTCGACTTGAAAAACAACCATCCCACACGCAATTTTTCCATAAAACTTGTTGCACAGTGCACTTACCGTATGTGATTTCGTGGGTCACAGTCTCAGTCAGCGACACGGTAACAGTCTTCGTATAAGAACGTATAGACGGTGATAGGCATGAGGATTTTGAGATTGGTATTGGGGTTTTGCAAAAATAGATATTGTCACTCTTATTCTGTGTAAAGGCCATGGTGAGTTTTTCCGCAAACTTGTATACCAGAGCAAAAACGTGCCGCATAAATTTCCCGGCAATTGGACGGTAATCGATTTTCAGATTTTCCGGCACAGTGACAGTTTTCAAAGGCACACAAACAATTAGCAACTCTCCGTCGTTGGATTATCTAAGATTCGCGTTTTAATTCGTATTTGTTTACACACATTTTCACATATAATTTGCGCTCGACATCAACACACTCACGATTCGGAAATCTTGATCTGAATCGCATGGCACAGTCGCTCACTTCGTTGGTCTGTCGCACTTGGGGCTGTCCTTCTCCAATTCTCCCGGTTCTCCCGTAACTTATTTTTGCCCGTATGTGGTTATGCCTAATGGAAAACCAGCATTCTTTCAAACCGAAAACAGATATTTTATCTAATCGCCTTAGTATTTGTTTCAATTTTTGCGCCGGTTTAGTCGTAGAAACAACCTTGGAAACAATATTGTAATTTGGGTTTGTGCGCTTATTTTTAGATTGACTAGTTCCCGCCTTCACAATGCACGCGTGTAATACACGGAGAAAACATTTCGAATTGTAACTTTTTGCATTTGCACTCAGCTTTAACTTCTGTTTCACTTTCCTTCCATCTCGGTGTTTCAAGAAGAGCATTTTAGATCATCGTGATCTTGATGTCCTGAAATTATTCGGATCAAAACATTCGCCACCACTCTGATGATCTTCTTAATCATACCAATTTATGGTGTTTGGGGCACTTGGAGAATTTTGATTTTGTTCGAAGACATCCACCTCTACTCTTATGAAACTTTCGGCGAAGAAACACAATTTCACATGCCAGGTTTTTGACTGCCTGCGACCTAAGGAGCTTCTTAATTATGCAAATTTACGGTGTTTAGGAAAGTTTATTAGATTATTTTTTTCCGGAAACACCCACCTCCATTCTTATGAAATTTTCGCCAAAAAAATAATAATTTCACATGCGAGTTTTTGACTGCTCTCGACTTAAAGAGCTTCATAATTATACAAATTTACGGTGTTTGGAAAATTTAAAAAAATTTGGAAAAAAATTCCTATTGTGCAAATTTACGATGTATGCAAGTCAAGGAAAGATGGGTTCCTGACATTGTGTGGAGAATGCATCAGAGAAAAGGAGGCAGAACGTGTAGCTCATTGTTGTATATATGGGCGGCTGTATTTTTACGTCCAGATTTGATCCGCAAGGAATGTCTGGCGTCGAAATTGTTCATGAGTACCACCTTATGGGTTTTAATTCGGGCAGTTTTGACCCAGAAAGCAAACATTGAATATTAGACAATTAGGTGCAAGATTATGCCAAAATTTCATGTTTTTCGTCCCGTTTTTGCTCATTTCTCGGAAGGAAAATGTGCACGAACGCTCATTTTTACATCATCGCAGAGAGAAGTAAATGGCCTTTTTAGAAAGTGAACCATCGATAAGGAAATATTGAGGGTTTTCTCAAAAAAACCTTGATTTCAAGAAGTTTTAGATTTACGTGTTTTTCAGTTGCAGAATCGACTTCAATCGCACGCTTCTTTTTTCGAAATTTCTCAAGAACCATTTGAGCCATAGAATTCGTTTTGGCATCGTTGGTTAGAGAATTGAAAATCCGATTCGGTCATCAGAACATGAGTGGGGAAAGTCAAGCAGTTTTAACCCAGAAAGAAAAATTTGAATATCAGACACTTAGGTGCAAGATTATGCCAAAATTTCATGTTTTTCGTCCCGCTATTGCTCATTATTCGAAAGTAAAATGAGCAAGAACGCTCATTTTCACATCATTCTAGAGGGAACCAAATGGCCTTTTTAGAAAGTGAACTATCGATAAGGAAATGTTGGCAGTTTTCTCAAAAAAATCTTGATTTCAGAAAGTTTTTTTTGCGTTTTTTTGAGTTGCAAAATCGACTCAAACATGACGCTGCTTTTGCAAATTTGAAGTCTCTCATGCCCGAATTGAGCCACATAATTCGTATTGGATAGAGAATTGAGAATTCGAGTAGTTTTAACCCAGAAAGCGAAATTTGAATATCATATATTAAGCCTGGACTTTGCCTTGCCACGGATATCCGTGCCAAGTTGTACAAAGAACTACTACACTATTACCAACTATTCTAATAAAACGCTTTAGATATTGAGAGAATATTTTATTTAAGAACAAATAAGGTTTTTTTAAGTGAGTCAAACTGAAAACGCAAATTCGTGCTAGAAACTCAATAAGTTTCCCAAAATACTCCTCCATATTAAAACTTCACCATTATTTCCTCCAGAGGCTTGCGATTTAAGTCCGGTATTAGAGAGTCTTCTGCAGGATATCCAACTGGGAATAGCAAAGTGAGTTTTTCGGACTTTGGACGGCCAAGCAAAGTGCGCAGAGCTGGACCGCAATTTAACGGTGTGGATGTTAAAGCGACTAATCCAGAGTACTAAAAAAAATAATTCTCAAATCTCAATCAATTACTTTTACTTGACTACCTACATGTATCGCAGCTAGCAATATTCCAGCGCTAATAGAGACGCTCTGTTCGTTGTAATAATGCAGCTTTTTGGTACCATCAGGCTTCAAACTGTAGGTTTGCTTGAATACCAGAATCAGATAAGGCGCATCTGTTAGGTACTCTTTGACCCAATTGGTCCTGAGGGGTTGAAGGTCGGTTGTCCACACTTTGCCCATTCGCTTTTTGTAATTAATTTCTTCTTCCTCTTCGATTATCTGACGAACCTGTTGTTTGATTTCGGGGTCTTTTATGACTACATAAGTCCATGGTTCGGTGTGTGCTCCACTGGGAGCCGTACCTAAAGAGAAAACGAGTTAGGTGAATTAATGAATGAAGCCCAACTCTTTTGATTAAAAAAATGATGTTTTTACCTGCAGTTTTAATTATATTATCAATGATAGCTTCTGGGACATTTTCTGAGCTAAATCGGCGCACAGTCCTTCTCATGTTCAGCAGCTGATAAAACTCCTGCGACCTCTTTAGAGATTCTTGTACAGGCCTTTTATTGAAAGGGAGAGGAATGTGTTTTAGATCTTTAGGTAAAGCGGGCGAAATATCTTCGAATTGCTCATCCAGATCACTATCGTCGCTTTCAATTTCTACAGATTCGCTAAATATCGCCCAAGCTTACAGTGGTGGTATTTTTTGCTTACCTTGGTTATCATTTTCTTTAAAGTCCTTCACTTTTTGAATAGTTGATGGTCCATTCGAGGATGATTTCTTGCGAATATTCATGCCCACTTTTGCGGTTAGCCAAAGAGCCAGCCCAGCCACAAAATATTGCCAGTACAATTCGAAAAACATTGCGCGTCTTCCACTCTTCTTGTGTGCTAATCTGTGCCAATTCTTGCGACTACTGGAATGAAAATTAGTAACTGGCAGTATGTCATTGACACACAAAGATTAGACAATTATATCTTCAATCCAAGCACATCGACCTCCGGCGCTGCATGGACAGTTTGTTTATTTAATGGCTTATTTAATGCAATTTGTATTGTAGTCCGATGTATCTCCTTAGGCTACTTACATGGAAAAATTATTATATTTGGTTTTAATTAATCTCTAGTTGGTTGAATGATGACTACTTATACTTGCTTAAAACAGTTTTTTTTTGAGTTACGAAGATCAACTTCTCCTCATTCCACCATCACACTACTGAACAAAGGTGTGGCTTAATGGGCCAAAATTATGTGGAAACGTTTGTGTAATAAAGTAAATTGGAAAACATGGCAGATATATCAAGCTTGCATGTTTTCCTGCAATAAAAGGGTGTGTAAATGTATGAATATTTCATTTCCATTCGTGAATAATAGATATTAGTATAATTAAAAATCAATGGAGCATACCACTAATGTCCACTTTTGTGCCTAGTCCTTTGGTAAGCATGGCGGGATTTGATGGAAATTAGCCAAACTGAGTAAAGTAAAACTTCATTTCCAATCATTTTTATTTCTTCTTTTATACATTCATATACAGTGTGTAAGATTCAACATTTTATGAAGGATTATTTTTATTCCATCAATATACATAAAGGATAAGAACAAGTGTAAATTTTGCAGTTTTAATGTGTTTGTTTTGGCTAATATAAACTGGTTCTTAACGAGATTAAAACGTTGAACAGAGATGAGATTTTTGTTCCATTGACTAACCATACAAAAACAGATACAGGATATTAAAAATATTCTTTCATAAAATATATGACTTGCTTTTTAACTACAACTGAAGCAACATTTTGTTAAGTACCTACTTTCAGTAATAAAATATAACTATAATAATATATTTAGGTAGGTACGAAGGAAGGCATTATATTTCGTTTCGATCACTTCAAAGTGGGGGTAAATATACAGGGCAGCTCTAAAAACAGTGGAAGCCTTTTTAGTAAGTAAATGCATGCAGTCTTTGACGGATATTTATTTTCCTTTGCAGTCTAATGGTCTACGACTATATGCAATGTTAGTTTCCTTGATAGAATTTTCAAAGGGTGCGCCTATCTCTGAAGTCTACCCTGTCTTTTATTATACAATTTTCCATATATTTACGCCATGATTCATTAATATTGTTTGCACTTAAATAGTGGTGGTAATATTAATGAATCGTCCCGCATTTAAGGCGAAACTACCTACTAAGAAAACTTAACTAAATGCCTAAAATTATTATAAATTACACAATCACGCGCAATCTGAAAAACACTGGTCTATGTACATAAAAATAGATGGAAGGCACCTTAATGCAGAGGCTGTTTTATAAATTTGTGACATTTTTTTTCTCAAAACTAAGCCTAAATAAATAAAATTGTAAATGGACAAGGTGGGTGTTTTCGCAACAATACTCTGCTTTATGGTTTTCATTTCAACACTAAATAACTAAGACGAACAAGACTAATTAAAAATAAAACAACTAACTGTACAAAAGGGGAAGGTTTCCTACAGCTCGCAAAATGTGATATTTGATCAGTTGAACAGTTTTAATTTATTTTGTTCGAAAACAAATCAACGTCCTTAAGATAATCATTTATGTCGTGAATTCAGTTGGATCATTTTGGGGTAGAACTAAAAATAATCTAATTCTAATCTAGACTAGAGAAGCCACTATCAAATCGATCGAAAAGGTGAAAGTCAACAAAATACTGACCAAATCTAATAATGTAAAAAAATAAAAATAGCCTACATTTTAAAATTATACAGGTAACTAAAAGTATAATAGCCAGAATTCTTCAAATCCTCTAAACGCGAATTAAACGTTAAAAATCGATTTGGCGACCGCCCAATTTCTTGGAAGAAACATTTTTATAGTATCACTTGATTCAAAAGTCATGTTAACTTGAAAATGCTTAATATGGCCACTATTTTATATTATAGAGCGCACACAGTGCTGATGAAAACAGATTGAAGAAAATAAATATGTATTCTATATATTTCAGTAAAGAGACTTGACTGAGACAACTAAATGTGTGATCTAATAATAGTCTTGTAAAACGTCAGTTTTCCTTGCACATAGATTCTTTAATAAGCTTAAAGTAGGCTTATTTGCTAGGTACAAATTAAAGATTTGATCTCAAACAAAAATCTGCCGTTTTGCTTTCACAGCACTGATCGATTTTTGCCTGGTAATTTGGGGAAGTCTTACCGATATGTACATAAATAACTTACTGTAACAGAATGTCCGGAAAAGTAGCTTACTATTACTTAATAAGAAAATACTTTGGTTCTCAGTTTCCTTTCTTGTCGCGTTGGTAAAGCTGCCCACGATATAGAATGTCGGGAAATATATTTATTTATGTGCGAGCTTTATGTTAATTAGCTGATTTAAGCTGCCACTTCACTGTCCAGCTTGGTTTGCCAATATGGTAAAAACAATCAGCGCTAACGAAGAAGTCAGCGATATACTACTTGAAGTCGACTCTGAAATGTAAAAAAAACTTTATTTTATCGTTTAAATATCGGATTTTTGAAACCGTTTTTCAAAATTAGAATCCTTTAAACTGATAGAGCAAAAATATGTGTCCACACATATATTTAAAAAAATTAAATAATAATACCTCCTAGTGGTGCCTCTTTTTCGCTTGTATGCTGTGCCGGCGTTGAAGAATCTAATTAAAAAATAAGCAAAATTAAAATAATCTCTAATTAAAATTTGCTTAAAATAGGAAAATACAAACATGAGCATGCAATGATTAGTTTACAAAGTTCATCTAAAACATGACTGTTTTACAAGGCTATTTACAATGTACATATACCTGTGGTTCTTTCTTCTTTCGGTTCTTTTTTGCTATGCTTGGATTTTGCATGATGCGAACCATGTTTCGCTAGAATTGTGCAGGAAGCATTAGTACGTGAAAAGGAGCAACAAAAAAGGGTACAATGATTCAAAATGGAAAATATGGATAAAGTACTCAACAAAGGCACATTGAAAACTAGACAACAAAAACAGTCAATTGAAGTTGATCCGAATTAAAGTAAGGTAAAATCTTATTTGGCCTGTTTTTATACTGCTCCTAGAGCGAGAAGAATCTGTGAATTAAAAAACCGATCTTTAACAGTTCTTTAGTTTTTTGGCTGCATTTTTTTTTAATTCCTGAATTTGAAGTCAAGCGCCATCGAATAAAAATATTTCGAGAGTTAAATAAAGAGCAATAAAATTGTAATGTTCCTTGTTTAAAAAAAAGTTGTTCTCGGCTCAATTGTTGTTGCTTTAAGAATCTAGTTTCTTTTTAATGAAACTACTTGTATTGAATTTGAATATTTATATACATCAGCTGAATTTTCAGTTTGGTATTTTGGATTGTTATTAATATTAATTGCCTTATGAAATTACCAAATGCCCTGTTATACAAAGGTGACTTTACATAGAATCATCTGCGTAATTACATTTTATGTGTTTTTAAATATACATTTCCATCATTAAACGGTAAATTAAGCATCAGACTCGACCACCGGAACGGTGGATTAGGGATAAGCATATATTTTGAATCATTGTAGTGCTCAGATATACATACACAAACTCAGTGAATGGCAGTACGAAAAGGACATTGCATTTTTTACATTACGTGTATAAACATTGACTCGAATTGTTAATTTTACATATTCAAATCACTTACCTCCTTGGAATACTGCGATGTCCGAGAAATCGGACCAACCATGCGAATTTAGTGATCTAGCTCTGGTCTCCCAAATGCCTGAACCGAGCTTGAGATCTTCTAACGTGCTCTTAATTAAATAGCTGTCTTTTTCGCCCCCCGTTACATTCACAGGTTGTGATTCCCATTTGGTCTCCTGTTCACATAAATAACATAAATTAATAAACATAAACGACATAAAAGTCGTAGTTTGGGTGTTAAGTTATCCAAAGTTAATTCAATTAATTGCTAACTATTACCAAGGGACTGAGAGTGCTTGCATGTAACATTGCCACGGGCACAAAGAGAGCCTATTTATACCGTAAGTATGTCCTATTCGATGTGAAAAACACTGGATTAAGCGCAAAAAACACTATAAACTTGCAGTTTGTGCTAGTTGCAACTAGATTAAACAATTTTCGATGTGAAAGTTGTGCTGGGTCCTTCGGGCACCACACTGGTTTGTGCGCAAAGACACTGTCGCACCTTTTCTTTGCTAAACTTGTCGTTTGATTAGTTTTTGTCCAAAATCAGTGTCGTGGCCAAAGGGTTCGGCACAACAACTTCTTCAGACAACTTTCGAAGCGAAGTGGTGCTCAGCCCTTCGGCACGACACTAAGCCCAAAAAAACACTACAAACTTGCCGTTTGATCAGTTTAAGACAATAATTCGAATTAAGTGTCTGACTTTTATCGAAAATTAATTTTGATAAAAGTTCTGGTTAAAAGGTTTTGGATTCGGTTACGGATATATAGGGTGTTTCAGCTTCAAGGTCCCGAAAATGTGAACATTTTCGCATCTTTCGCTTTAGAGCTTAGGAATGTCGCATCAAACGAACACTCTCTATCAAAAAGATCCTAATGATTTAAATCGAGTACAGGTTTTAACGACTCGCGTTGCATTTATTTGCATGGACTTTGTCGCTTTGTGAACTCCTGTGGAAAAACGCACGTTCATTTTTTTCTTACCCCTTTTCTTCTATACTGAATCTCGTGCTTGGTTATGGGATTTCTCGACTCGACTTTCCATTGCAGATGTACGTCTTTCGAACTTTCAGTCGATTGCTCCTTGACGAATTTTCCAACCAGAGGCAATTTTACCAACTTGATGTTGCGAGTTTGCTTGCCGTATGTGTTACTCGCCATGCAACTGTACTGGCCAAAGTCACTGTCGGTGAGATCTGCAAGGAATTAAATTGCTTGATAAGTTCTGTGCAAGGTTTTTTCAAAAATGTAGTTAAAAATCTGTCGATTCAAATTTTTAATGAGGACGAATTTGGCGCGACTATAAATTCACGCAGCCTAATAGAATTACTTTTATTCATTGAAGAAGATTCAGCTTTTTGGTGTGCTAATAAAAATCCTTTTTCTACTGTTCAAAGACAACATTAGCAACGAGATTTTTCAGCTTCTACAGAAAAACGCCTTATTCCCGAAATCCAGGAAGCTTCCAGGACCGAATATTCAAGTTCTTCCATAACATGATGCCTACTAACTTTTAATGATTAGGATGTTCCTCTCGTTATTCCTCTCTCGTTTGAAAGTGATTTTCGGTTCATCTGAAATGATGTTTTCATCGTTTCGTTGCCAGACCACGTTGGCATTTGGATAGGCTTTCACATCGCATACCAATTCCGCATCTTCTTCATGGTCCGACTGTACCAAGTACTTTTCCACTGAAACTATCGGTCCATCTGAAACGATTCCTTTCGTTAGCATTTTCAAATATTTTCCAACTATTTGTCTCTTACGGTTAACGAAAATTTCCAGATAATTGTGAGCGGGTCTGCCAATGTTGTTATCCGCCAAACAACGGTAGCTGCCGGCGTTTTTCGGCTTAATATTTTCAACAGTTAAGCTTTCTCCTTCTGTCACCAATTTTTCGTTGCCTTTGTACCAAGAAATTTTCGGTTGCGGGTAGCCATTGGCTTGGCAGGTCAACGTTACAGTATCTCCACTATTCACCTGAAAATCACAAGAAAATAAGTTACCTAGTTTGAATGATGGAGGTTCAATCACTTACCACTTTTTTGCCGTCTTTGACAAATAAGGCTGTTATGTTAGGACTGTATCTGACTAGAACATGATGAACTACTTCTGGTTGGTTGGTTTCAGTTAAAGCTACTTTGCAAGCATAATTTCCGGTATCGTCCTGGCTTTTAATAGTTACTTCCAATGTCCCATTTTCGATCAATTTATAGTTGTCGTCATCGCGAGTGTTAATATTGCCCTGATAGATCAGGCCTGAGTCCTTAGACCAAACCCTTACTAGGTCATCTGAAAACATCCCGGATTAGGCAAGTTTGTTTGAGAAAAACGTATGTTTACCTGTTGAAGTTGTAAGGCAAGGCAAACGAACCACCTCGCCTATATTAGCATCGAAAGTATTCGGTGCTGATATAATTTTAACGTTAGCTCCGTTATTTTCCGTAATATCAGCAAGGCTGTTATCGGGGTCTTCTTCATTGTCGTCGTCGTAATAAACCACTTGGTCCTTTTGAATGTCGTCGTTTTCATCCAAATCACCATAAATGTCTTCCTCATCTTTCGTTTTAACTGAAACAATTCCACTGTTTAGTAAAGCGGTAGATTAAATATTTGCAAAAAATCCAATTTGATTTAAAAAACGTGCAATTTATGAGGATTTTTTTTAGTTTGCATATTATCAACATTGGTATAATGAAGCTAGATAGAAAAAATGAATTGAGGCTAACCACATCATTAACATCACTTACAATGCACATGTACTTAAATAAGTGATATTTGTCGGCAACCACTCGCACTTTCATATACATTGATGTCTATTGCAGAAGAAAAAATGTTTTTTTCAAGCTGACCCACATAGCTGATTGCGCTGAAATATTCACACGGATATTTGGTATTTAAATTAGGACAGCTAAACATCTAAAGGATCGGTTTAGAATTTTGATCATGAATTACGGTATTCATTTAATTTCCAGGTTTGTTTATTTCACAGTTCATTGTACTTGTCTTAACGGTTTCAATGATAAATGGCCTAAACGCCTTAGAAAACCGTTTGGAAAATGGTTCGGAATTTCTGTGGTAGCAGAAGTTTTTCAATGATGCGCCAATTTTTTCGGGCGTGGCTCTTAATGGAATGGTTGGTTTTGTTGAGCTTAATTCACAAATGTTTCCATTCAAATGGAAAACCATTTTTGTTCTAAAAATTTTAATTTTATTTTATTGAATTTGTAATAACCAATCGGGAGAGTTGAAACCTCATTATTTTATGCCGCCGTTTTATATTAAGCGACTGTAATTATATGAAGTTAAGTTTGAGAAAAATACGTTTTTCCCTAAAGTACCTATCAATCAGTGCGCCACTTCAAGCTTCTTTAGATAAAACATTGACGTCATGTACTTATGGTAAGACTGATAAAGTACCTGATTAAATTCATTGATTAGCAATTACTAGATACTATTCCGGCTGATGGTAAGACCATTTTTAATACTAATTACATTATATTATTACATTTAAACAATGTCATCGTCCTGTAAACATTGCCAATAAGTGGCCTCTAACATCAAAATAGTTATTTTAAACATCATAGCAATAGATGTTAATTGTTTGAATTTTCAAATATTTAAATGCACGTTTAACCTTAATCAATGAACGGGCACAACCTTGTTACAGAGTTAAAATATTATCAATATCGAGATTTATCTAAGAAAGATTTTTACGGATTTTTAAGCGGTCATGAAAAATTATTTCCCTAACGTTTCGCAAGCACAAGCTGCTTCACGGGAGGTTGCAGCGCTTAGAAAATTAACCGAAATTCACCCAGTCTAACCCAAACTATCGTACACTGACCTAAACTTATCAAAACTAATCGAAACTAAGCCAAGCTAACTCTATGCCCTACTGAAAAAACCACCAAGGTGCAAGCCTAAATCTGAGAAACTGATCAGTTTAATTAAAAAACGTTTTAAACCAAAGACAATAACATACGGATGATTTTGTTTAAAAACCGATCAGACAATGCGCGATATAAAAAGATATCGGGAATAAAGGAGATCCGGTATATTTTGAATAAATCCATGGCAGATGGTTTTATAATTTCAACTTGCATTCATTAAATGCATTTGGCAATGAGGGTTTTTTCATTTTAGGTCAACTTGGAGTCGTTTTTCTCAGACTCCATTAACACCTTGAGACATATTAACCGAAATGCCGCGAACAAATAAATAAATCATTTGTTTATTTTATGTCGACGAAAATTGACGGTTATGCATGCACTTTTGTTGCTTATTTTACGAGCTTGTTTACCATATTGGTGCATAAAAAGCTGCAATGGCAATGAGAAAATGTGAGTTAACAGCACCGCTTTAATTAATTTTGTTTAGTTTTCGTCATTAAATTCTGAACACATAAACGCTACAAATATTCGGCTTTTTCTTATTGGCTGCCGCATAAATTGCCGTTATTTTTACCAGATCAGTCCATGTGTTTCACACGCGGAAAAAACTAATTTATGCAATTAATAGACGTAATCACCACTCCTAGTCTGGGTTCATAATACAGTCGACCTAATAAATTAGGCTCGAATTTTTAATTTGTCATTTTTACCCCCCGGCGCGTTTTAATCCATTCTCATACTCCCTAAGCACAGACCAGCAATTTATGAATCTTTTTAACCGACCGCCATAATTCAGAAGGAGTTTATTTACTTTTTACACTTTCAGTAGTGAGAGTGGAAAGACTAACACTTTCATTGTGTTCCTACGTGGGTATCTTTAAACGAACAGATGAACCAACAAATATTTTAATTTATTTTATTGCCCACTTACATACAGCGAAAGCCAAATGTTTGGAATGAATTTATTTAAAAAAACCAATAATTTTGGACGGTGGAATTTTTTCGTAATCAATTTAATCTATACATACAAATTTCCGTTTTTGGTTATTTTATGTGGCAATTACAGCGTAATGAATTTGTATGTGCAGAGCAGCACATCGAATTAAAATCTATCGATTTAATAGTATTCCATTATCTCTCATTGTGTAACAGCAACGATCCTCATCTGCAACATCAGAAATTTTTCCAATCCTAATTAATTTGGACTTTTTGCCTCTTTTTACGCTAAATGAGTTCTCGTGCTGCGCCACTGATTTCACACCAAACTTAACACTTGGTTAATTCGAAAAAAAACTGGCTTTTCCTCTTAAGCAAACAAGAACAATAATTATGTGCGATCCATAAATAAAGCAGCAGGGGCTCAGCTTTTTATTTCGGTGGTTTTTTCAGCTGCCCTACCCTTCTGCCTCGAGTATTGCGGAAGGTTAGGCAATAAGGGTGGTTTAACCCTCATTAGAAAAATACCTGGCTGTGGTGAGAAAACAACGTCTCACTCGACTAGCCGAAATGAGCAACATCAGGTTCCAAGCATAGAAAAAGTGTTGTGAATATTATCTCGTGAAAATTTCAAATCACGTTCGTATCACTTTGCCTTCTTAAGCACGGCCGTTGAAACCGCTAAGTCATCAACCTTTTGTAATCGAATGCGAAGTATTTCTACCTACTAGGAATCATCCCTTCATCGCATTCAACAATATAATAGGCTCTTAGGTTTAAGTAACAATGGCCGGGTTTATCCGAGTGTTTTATCAAGAATTTAGAACTCATTGTCTCAAGATCGTGACATTTGGAATAATTGAAGCATATTTAAACAAAAATATGCTTCATAATGGCAAAGCAACAAAACAATTAAGTTAATCAACAACCAGAATCCAACATCAAGTAGGTAAAAGCATTAGTAAAATAGGCGAGTTTAACTGATCGTTGACGTGAGTAAGCTGTTAATGGAGCTTGTGCGACTGGAAAAGAACCCATTGACGACAGACCCGAGATAAAAAACGGTACCAAAAACTGGTCATTTTCAAGAGAACAGTTGTTAAAGGGCTATAAGCGACACCTTTGATTTTTCCTGCTGAACAATTCCCATTGAGCGCAATGTGAAAAATCATGTGCATATTGCGTAGACTATTATATTGGTTATGCGATTATGTGAATTAATTAAGCGATGTTTTTGTGACGTACCTGCAAAAACTGATAATTCTTATCTTTGATGATAAATTAAACTCCTAATTAACAAGCAATAAGAATTATAACGAAAAAACTAGCCAACTAACAATCACAGACGAACACAGATTCCCAACGATTTTGATGTGGAGCCAAAATCATATTTGCTTCCCATTGAACTGCATTCGAAACAAGAAATCAACATGGAAAGTCAGATTTTAGATATATTTGTGTGAGCTCATTATTTTTAAGCAATCTATTTCAGTTAAAGGCAGACAAACACACTTGGAATCATGTGATCGGAACGTTTCTTATCCCACAATAAATTGGGACATGAAGAAACTCGATATTGACTTTTCATATATTGCACATCATAGCAAAGTTCATTGCTCTCTTGGTACTGGATTTTTCAGATAGGAATTTAAGAAATGATGCGAAACCTGAGATTATCAAATCAAATCATCAATCATCGATTTTAGTTTGCATTACTACTAATTTATTTTTACTATTAAACAAACACTTCAGAAAATCAATGAGAGCCTCCCGGAACATTAGAAATGATGAGATTTTCGCACTTAATCCACTAAAATTTGACTAGTTGATTATATTAAAGCTAGTGAGAAGCACGTGAAGTATTGGCTTGATGGCTTCTGATTCATTGGAAAAACAAGTGTTGAGAATGTGTGTGAAAATTAAGCGCTGAATCGAATCGAAGTAATTTCACAGAAGAGAAAGTTCTTATGCTTAATAAACCATTCGCTCCAAATCACAAAAGATTTAAATATGTTCTTAAGCAAATTTCATATTTTTTTCACTGCGAAGCATTACGTTTAGTTAATAGCAATTTATATCCGTAAAATTAACAATGGAAAAAGTTTCCATAGACAATCTAACTTCCTCACTTAGGAAAAATTAGGAAACATCCTGGTCGCTTGCAGCAATTTATTTCAATGACTTCCAAAAGATTTCCATATACATAATGCATATTCGTTGCATTTAATCAATGAATCATTCTTCAACTGCGCTTCTGTATTGCGCCCATGAGGAGTTCAACATTTTCATGAAAGCTTGCTAATTATGCAACTGCTCAAATAAAGTCGGCATTGATTAATGATTGCAACTTTAGCATAATATAATCTGCTTTTCAAGCATTGGCAATATTTCGATTGCATCCTCAGCAGCGTCAAACTAGACCTGGGTTTCTGAAAGATTTCAATTAAGTCAACCGGAACTTAAAATGTTGCACTTTTAGTGTCTTTGGATCCAGATCATCACAATTGCAAAATGAATGAAACAATTGTCTCAACATTCACTGGGGAAAAACTGATTTCGAGCTTTGAAAAAGCTGCCAACAACGCTAAACATGAACGAATTTATTGTTTAGAAGCGATTCCAAAAATATATCAGATTTATGGGACGCATTATGCAATTCAGCATTAAGTGTGCCAAGCCGAAAAGCTTTAAATACGACGGCAGCTGGGCTTCATGCAGGCCAACTCGAACCTATCAAAACCCACCTTGGTAATGCAGGTAAATTTAGGGCTTTCGAAGATCGGAGCGAAGAATGCGAGGAGATTTGCTAAAGACGGCGCTTTGTTGCCGTAGCCAAATTATATTAATCTTCCAAGCCTTGTCGGATGTTGAATTTAGTTTGGGAATGTGTCGGAATATTATTGTTGTTTTGAACTATGGACAAAAATGATAAAGCAAACGGTACTTTTATGAACGGCAGCTGTTGCACAAGCTGAATTATCGGTTCGCTCAGTACGATTGCTTATCGGTATAATTTGGAAATAACAGCTTAGTTATAGCTTTACATCGGGGGCAGCCTTAATATTGAATTTGCGTTAGCGCTTTTAACATTACCTTCATCGTCTAGAGAACTTTCAATGCTCCTACCAACCGGCAAACTTAAGGCTTCTAATACAAGAACACAACTCGCGAAAACACAAAGAACTCGGAGGATTTTCATCGTGAAGAGAAATTGACTTTAAACCTGCTTTTGGTTTGAAACTTTGAATGTCGTCCCGAATGCAGCCAAATACTGAAGCAAACTTTGAAAAGCCAGCATTTTAATAGGTGTTCCTTCTATTTGCATTGTTAACCGCATCCGAGGGATTCCACTATTTGCAAATGACTAACCGTTTCCATATTTGTAAGTGATTGATGTGCTTCTTTGAATTAAATTGAGATTTTACTGATGGTTTTACTGAAAATTACCATGCAGTTTATTTAGTCTGAAAATTGACCGATTATGACAAAGTTTTTATTGAAGAGCGGTTAAGAAGCCAGTTATTTCAAACTAGACGTGGCCTATTCAATTGATTCGGTGAACTTTGATTTTTTAACCTTCAAGTGCTGATAAAGTATAAAAATACTTCAGATTTCCGCCTAGGCGCCACACGTTTTCATATCCAATTTTAAACTGGATTTAGACAAAAATGTCTTGCATAGTGCATCTTCAGTTTCATTTTCTTCAGGGGCGGATTAACCGACTGGCTAGCAGAGGCTGTTGTCCCGGGCGAACCCTGATATTAAAAAATTTTTACATTGTGGGCCCCATATTCATTTCACTCCCGGGCCTCGTGAAGCTTTGATCCGCCCCTGATCTTCTTCACCCAACGTACCATCTTTCTTCACAACTCCTGCTGTTAGCAGTCCAGAACAAGCCAACACAATGCAGGCAAGTATCAAGAACCTCATCTTGCTCAAAATAATCCGAAATATGGCACAAATTCACGTTTCAAACTCACTGATAAAATTACAAACAATAGAAATCACAGTCAAATCACGGCTTTCATTAATTAACAATCACCACACGGTAAATTTCAGAAAAGTTACGGCAATGGAGAGAAATTTTGTCGTTTTCATGCGCGTTTACTCGACTTGAAACCAGCGCTCTAACTGGCGCGACCGAAAGCAGCCGCTTTTTCTCCGCCATCCGCGTCCCCACTGCAGTCGAAAACAAAAAAAAAGAAAATGCAACCTCGTCCTAAGCTTGCAGACTTTAGGTTTAGAATGCCATCATCTGCACTGCCCATATGATTCAAGGTGCAACCAAAAAATTTGCGCGATCAATCAATTTTTCATCATTTTTATCCTCGCCGAAACCTCCTTGGTGTCAAACAGAAATTCACTTCGCCAATTAACAAATTCAAAATCAATTTTTAAGTTCCAACTGCTATTTTTCTCACTTTAAACGGTTCCCCGTCAATGAGTAAATCACCATAAAAAAGAAGCAGATCTAGAGATAAAGCAGCAGACAATCAACGTTTAATTGGTTCGCTGATACTTTAATCTGCAAACTAGCGATTTTTGTTGATGGCTGTTTTGATCCAATAACAATCCAATAACGAAATCGGATGCAAAAATACCGACGTTTTGTCACGAATATCAAACAAATATTGTGTGATTAAAAGTACAGATGCGAAATACAAATACAGGATTCAGGAGTGTTGCTGTCCTGGCTAAACCTAGTTAATAGTTAACCTATACCTGGCCTGGGGGTGCCTGAGGTTAGCACATTTTACTTACCACAGGCACCTTTGACTGCCCGAATAATGCCGAAAGTTTTTCAATATTGAGCCTGCTTTTGTACAAAAAATGTGGATTCTCGTTTTCCTATTTGTACGCTTTGCGGCCAACAAAACCGTAAGAAATAAGAGGTCGTACGCAGGTGCAAAAGTATAATTTTTTACATATATGGACGTAATTTTTACAAATGAATCCAGCAAAAACTTGGCGCTGCCGTTTCGGTCAACGCTTTTAAACTGCAATGCTGTTTTATATTAGTTATTATGGAAGAAATTTGAAGAAAATCCTTTAGTGATTCTATGCTGGCAAAGAGGTCGTTTTAATCTATTTATGGTACCCGCAGCATAGCACAATTTCTTCCAATTAAACAGGCGATGGACAAAAACGATTGCCTCGATGATGTGTGGTTAAATTTAACTCCATCAATGCAATAAATGGCACACTTGTTAACATTCTTTCCATAAAGAGAAAAATTTAATGCCCGTCATGGACAAGGTGTGTCTTGTTCAAATATTTGCTGTTTTTTTAACCACCAGAAAGGCCCTGCCAGATGTTTGTTTTATGGGCGGGGGCGCTCCTTTTATAGCTAACCGACTTTGGGGTGAATTATTTTCGGACTTTTGTTTTTCGTCGACAAATGAGTTTGGTCGAGTTTTTGCTAAATTTCCCTAACAGGCTTCCCGGTTTGAACTATTCAGAATTGTATGCTTTTGATGTCATGCGGAAATATTTGTTTATTGATAAAGTTGTCGACATAAGGGCACATTCAGTTCAATCGAGAGATAAAATGATCGATGTCTGGGTCTAGCTAATAGTTGAATCAAGTAATACAGAAAATACAGTTTAAAAACTTGTAAGAGTAGCAGTTTCCGATTATATTTGTAACAAAGTTTGCGGTGATGATGCGAACTGGGCCGGGTCTGGTGAAAAGCCCCAAAGTCTCTTATCATGTGTTTTGTGCTAAAATTAAACGAAACAAGAAAAATCCTCCGTTATCAGGAAAACAAGCCAGGAACTATTATTGATCTGTTTGTCTTTCAGGGTAGGGCCTGACAACAGAATATTTATATGCTTCAGCCCACAGTAACTTTACTTAAGTAAAGCTGCTGATCATAACTAAATTTAATGGTTGATTAATAAGAAATATTGGCGTTAGGTAACGCGAAAAAGTGTCATTCATTCACATTTAATTATTCCTGTACAAGGCCGCAATGTTAGCATTCAATCACGTCAAAGTAAATATTGAAACATGTTGCCTAATCAATTAGGATGAGCTGATGATTCCATTGACTAAACGATTTATAAATACGACCACAAAACCTCTTCATTATTAGAGTGCGCTTTTGCAGCTTTTGCAGCAAAGCCGGGTGTTAAAGTTGAGGTTCTTTTCCCCATAGCGATTAATATTAGCTAAAGCAACTGGGGTGCACTCACTATGCGATGTTAATCAATTAGCCGCAAACTTCTCGAAACGTTTTTTAATCTCTAGGCTTATTAAGTTAATATTTCTGCTTGCAAAAGCTGAGATGATTTTACAATTTGACGATAGGAACTCTATCAAAACTGATGACTGATAAAAGTTATCATCGCATAGAATTCACATGAAAGAAGCTGCAGGAAGGTTCTTTATTTTCTCAAATGCCAAAGCAAGAGCGCAGAAAATGTCTTATCAGACATGTTACTGTTAGCTAACCCACTACAGGACGATATTCCTGCACTTCCTGCTTGAGGCTGGCAAGTAATTGATGTCGAGTCGTATCTTAAGCTTGTCATGATACCGAGACTGAAACATAATTCTTGAACATTTCTGGGCTCGCAAGCAAGGCAATAAGTTACGTTAGGCATTTCAAACTTTGAAGTTGATTTACGTCGGATCGTTCAAATATTTACTCTTCATTTTATCTAGAACAAAGCTCGCATCTCGTAATAAGAAAAGTAAATTAACGCGGATGCTTTGGACAGGTTCATTATACCCCGGATTGTGTGAGTTGCGAGATTCCCATTATCGTGTTCTGATAGTGAGGAAACTTTTTATTTTACTGGTCGTAAATCTTGGGAGTTTTGTGGATGAAGGAAAACACTGCATGAAGGACCCTTGCTCTTGTCAAACAGATCACAGGCTCTCTCGTCGAACCAGCCGACAAACCACACAAGAATTTGTTGACACCTCACTGTTAAAGGCGGGGTGGAACGATGCCAAAGACAAATAAATCATTTGACAAGGGGATTGGGGATCGTTCTGCCTAAGTGCAGACTGCCGGGTGTATTTAGACTTTAGAGGGTTGTTGACCGATATTTTTATTTACGAGCCGTTTTCCATTAAGCCAGCGAATACATTTTGTATGCTCAGTTCTATTACTTTGTTGCTGTTAGCATGGGATCATAACCATTACAGCTCATAAGCTCTCTTACGGAGATTAAGTTGTTTCAATATTTGCCGGTAATTGCCCAATATACTTTGTATGAAATTTGCTTAGGCACTAAACTTAATGGGTATGCAAAGAAAACACATTAAAAGTCATTAAAAAAACGGTTTTCATCTGAGTCCGACATCAAAATTTGCCAGGGATTTTTACAGTGAAATTAAACTTCTAATATTAAACCTTTTACATTAAACGCTCTAATCATTAAAAACTTGTGCTATAAAAAATGAATTCTTTGAATGAAACAGTAGCAAATTATAAACATTGAAGGCGTAATGTGAATTTCGCCCAGCAATATCGGACCAATTTAGAAAATTACCAGTAAACTTTGGGTTTTATGGGTTTTCTATTCCCCATAGTCGCCTTACATCATTAAATTAAAAATAGTATCGGCGCTTAGCGATTATGAAAATATGGTCACTGATGTTTATTGCATACACCCATTTATTTAACTTGCAAGAAAATGAACTTTTTGCAAGAAAATGAACTTCTTCGCACACTGAACGTAATAATGTCACTGGAAAGCCCCCATTTGCCGTCTAAAAATACCCGGAGACTTGATCCATACGTGTTTATCCGTTTAATTCCTCTGAAAGTCTAATTAAAACTAATGAATACCGAACACAAACTTCGGTTGTGTGTTGGCAAAAGGGCGATCTATCATATCAAATGAGGGTCAGCGTGATGTATTAATGGAAAACTTGGAAAGGTCACATGTAACTAGTTTTCTTTACTTGGCAAAAATGTGCTTAATCAGCAAATAATTTAATTGATGATTATAAAAAACATACACACATTTACATGTATCAATGAATACATGATTTGGCATTCTGGTTTTTTTGGAATACATAGTTGATTTTTTAAATTAAATTTCATCAAAGAGAGAAGTTTTATCTTGAAACTTGGAAAAGCCACATGTAAATAAGTTTTCTTAACTTTGCAGAAACATGCTTAATCGTCAAATAATTTGAAAAATGTTCGTACATTTGCATGTACCAATGAATACGTAATTTAGAACTTTTGCTCATTTTGAATAGTTCCTGATTTTTTAACTAAAAATCACGGCTATGAGTTTCAAATCAAGAAGTTTCATCCTGAAATACCTTCCGAATCAAGCAAATTTCTTACTTGCAATTAAAATCAAACCATTCACAAATTACCTGGATCTAATGACTAAAAAACACATTTCTTCAAAAATGGCCGCAAATGATAGGAACATTCAAGACTACTCCAAATACAATCATGCGTTTTTGTTAGTTTAACGGGCCATTTTTAAATTTGTGTGCAATTTAGCCGGGTAAATTGAGATGGTAAAGACTGGAAACGCTCAAAGTGCCCTCCTGGCCATGCACATTTCAACTGAAATGAGATGACTAACAAAAGGAAATGACTCTATCGCTAGGGGATCGAGATTTAATGATAGTTCCATGTCTTATTTATTGTCCTTCTGGCCAGGGAGGATTTATACACCAGCAGTCCTCCCCAGAATAAGTAAGTGCGACTGAATATATTATTTCCCATTTGTGAGAATTGCTTTAACCAGCCAAAGCCTAATTAGAAACTACACTGATTTTTCAGCTATTTCTAGTCGTGCAAACATTGCTGGAAATCACTTGGGAAAAATGAAAAAGTCGATGTCCCATGCCCAATTATTCACGTTAGAGGCCGAATCATGATCATCATTGAAATAAAACTGCGCCCCCATATCATCGAATCCAATTTTGAAAGTTCAATAACCGTGTCTTTTCGTGTTAGTCATCGAGGTTTTCGATTCAGCCGGTGATTATTTATGTTATTAAAGTGCCGTTTAAGCCGATTTATTATGGTTGCTGCACTGTTTTGTCTCAAAACACCCGGTTTCAACTCTTTAGCCAACTGTGGCGTGCACTGTTTGATCACTCCCTGGATTAGCCCTGGTTTCTTGACTCTTTAACCGCATTTAGTTGCTCCACAAATCAGCATTGTCGGATTGCTCGGAAAA